GATGATGATGATGGTGGTGATGATGAGGATGATGAGAATGATGATGATGCTGCTGATGATGATGCTGCTGATGATGATGATGAGGATGAGGATGAGGATGAGGATGAGGATGAGGATGATGATGATCATGATGAGATGATGATGCTGATGATGATGGTGATGATAAAGCTGATGATGATGATGATGATGATGATTATGATGATGATGAGGATGATGATGATGATGATGATTATGATGATGATGCTGATGATGATGATGATGATGATGATGATGATGATGATGATGGTGGTGGTTGTGGTGGTGGTGGTGATGATGATGATGATTGATGATGATGATGATGATGATGATGATGATGATGATGATGATGAGGATGATGAGATGATGATGATGATGATGATGATGGATTGATGAGGGAGGGAGGAGGAGGAGGAGGAGGAGGGAGGAGGAGGAAGGAGAAGGAGGGGAGGAGGAGTAGGAGGAGGAGGAGGGAGGGAGGAGGGAGGAGGAGGGAGGAGGAGGAGGAGGAGGAGGAGTGAGGAGGAGGAGGAGGAGGAGCTCCTGGGCGGGCTGCCTGGCTGCCCCACCCGTCTCACCCTTACCGCCTCCATGGTCTCCGCCGTCTTGTCGTGCCTTCTTCCTTAGCCCCTCCCCCCGGCGTGGGCCAGGAGGAGGGTCAACGAGGGCCCTGGCGTTGTGGACGACGATCCATGGAGAGGAAGCGCGTTGCAACATAGCTTCCAGATGTCTAACACATGCTCTAAACATGCCTGAAACACTTAAGACACACATGTTTGGAACATTGCCAGAACAGCTTTCAAACATTTTGAGCACATTTTTAATTTAATGATCGGATTGTCAGGGTGTCCATTGTCATGGCATCCACAACCTGGAGGGTTTCTCCGAAGGGCTTAGGGGACCCGTCCTCCTCCTCCTCCTCCTCCTCCTCCTCCTCCTCCTCCTCCTCCTCCTCCTCCTCCTCCTCCTCCTCCTCCTCCTCCTCCTCCTCCTCCTCCCCCTCCTCCTCCTCCTCCCCCTCCACCTCCTTTTCCTCCTTCTCCTCCTCCTCCTCCTCCTCCTCCTCCTCGGGTCGTTTACGGCCGCGGGGGAAGCCGTGCACCACAAGCCCGGTGCACTGCGCAGACGGACCCGCAGCCTCAGCCTCGGGAGGAGGGAGAGCGAGGCGGAGGCGGCAGCAGCGGCCACGGCCCCCGCCCCATAGCCGCAGGCCTCGCCCGCGGGCGCGGCCGGCAGAGCCCGCCGTGCGCAGGGAGGACTTCGAGCGCCTGTACAGGCAGCTCGCGGCGGAGCGCTGGGGCGAAGGCGGCTGGCTCCGGGCGTCAGTAACGTCGAACCGACCCCCCATCCCCATCCCCATCCCCTTCGAGACCCCCCCCAAATTTCCCCTCGAAGCCCGCAGGGAACGGCCCATATCCCCATCTAGGGGGGGTAAGTCGGCCAGTGGGGTCCAGGCCACGCCGCTGGGGCTGGGGGTCGGATAAACGATGCTCAGGGCGGGCGGGTGGCTGGCGCCAGCCAGGGGTCGCGCCAGACCTTCGGCGGGGGTGGGCGGTGAGGAGGGAGGGGGGAGGGACCAGGGACGGTGAGTCAGTCGGGGTCACCGCACGGTTGTGGGACTCGGTTCGTTCTCCGAGGGCGTCTCGTGCGACTGGGGCCTCCAGGTCCCCAAACCGTGCGGTGACGGGACCGTGCGGTGAGGTCTCCTGGGGTTTCGAGGTCACCGCGCGGTCTGTCACAGCACCGTTTTGAGACAACCAACCAGACTCCCTTGCGTCGTGAACCAAATCACGGCGGGCGGTTTTTGCCACTTTTCGGCCTCTTGGGGCCCCTCACCGTGCCCTGGGCCCGTCGAAGAACAGCTCGGGTCGAACGAATTGTCCTGAAGAAGTGGTCTACGGTCAGGATCTTTGGCTTAGCGTGTCGCGCCGTTGATTTGTGCACACCACGCCTCGGCGCGACACGCTAACCACGTCTCGGTTCCCAATCGTCAACTTCCCGAGCTTTTCCCAGCCTTCTGCCCGGCGGAGCGGAGCGATTTTTTTCGTTGCGGACCCTGCGAGCGTGCGGGATGAGCGGAGCGACACCCTATCCGCCTGCACGGCATGTCGCGTCGCCAGGGCTGCCGCCGCGACGCGCCAAGCACAAGTTTCCGGCCGTGAGTCTCCTGGAGCCCAGGCTGCAACAAAAAGCACGACGTTTCGGAGAGTTGGGGACGGGGGAGGGGCGCGGAGCGGCTCCTGCGGGGGCAGGCCAGACGACCCCCACCGTCGTCGGCATCTTTTCGCCCTTGCTGGCTGCCATAGCTGTTCGATGCACGAGGCCCGATTCACGCATCGTTCAGGGTGACCTTCCCCAAGAGCTTGGCGGGGGTGTGAGTGAACCCTCTGAGTAGTTACCGCTGCCTCCTCATGTCGCTCCACTTGAGCTGCTTGCTTCGGGACACGGAATCATTGATTTCCGGTCGGTGTTTGCAGATTTTGGCACTTGCTTCAAAACGGCCCAGCCCACGACGGTCCAAGAGGGCCCCTAAGATTGCCGAAGAGGCATGCCAGACGCTCAAGATGGCCTCCAATCAGAGGGACGTTCGGGTCGACGCTGACTGGCGTGTCACCGAAGATTCTGCTGGCAACGAATAGGTTCTCGAGCACTTCGTTGCGCGCCAGCCGCCGGGGTAAAGGACACGTCCGTATGGTCGGGCCAAATACTTTTGGTGCAAAGGGTGCGCCTAGAGAGCGGTGTTGGAAACGCGCATGTGATATACTTCTGTGGGGTGATGATGACAGAGACGGCTCTGCCCCTCCTGGCCCAGGGACGATGAACGGAATTCGTCTCGGTGAGAGAGAACCACTTACAGTGGCGCTTCGGCGTTTTGATACCATATTTTTTTGACATCCTGGCAGAAAATCAATTTGATCGCTTCGTTCATTCCGCCAGCCCGTATTTTGCCATCGCTGGCGCTTGCCAGCGTGTTCGTGGCCCATGCGGCGCTGCTTGGCGGTGGTCTTTTTACTGGAGTCGTGGCGACAGCAGGCATGGATGTGAAGTAGTTGCTTTGGAGCTTGTCGTGGGGCTTCTGGCCTCTACTGCTCACCGACATGGCTAGGTTGTGGGTCAGAGTCCTCAGGGATGCGTTTTGGGGTCTCTTCGGAGCGCTTTCGGGGGCTTCTGGAGGGCAGTTCTGAGCACTCTTGGGAGCGTCTTGGGAGTGTCTTGGGAGCATCTGTGGGGTCTCTCGGGGCTTCCTAGGGGCCTCTTGGCGGCCTCGGGGCCTCTCGGGGGCCTTTTGGGGGCCCCTTGGGGCCTCCTGGGGGCTTCTTGGGGTCGAGGGCTCGAAATGTCCGTTCGGGTCCTCCGGTTGGGTTCCTTCTTGGAGCCGTCATCGGAGCCTCTTGGGACGTTTTTGGAGGCCTCTTGAGCCGTCTTGGGCTCTCTTGGGCCTTCTTGGAGCCCGCTTAGGGGGCCTCTTGGGCCATCTTGGGGCGCCGTCTTTTAGCGTCGGGAAGCTTCAAAGGCGACAATGTCAAAATCCTTCAAAAACCGATGGGAAATCGATTAATTTTGCATTTTGGGGCCCTCTGGGGAGTGCTCTTGAATGGCTCTTGGGCCGTCTGAGGGCCATGTTGGGCGTCTTGGGGCGATCTTGTGGTGTCCCGGACCCCTCTTGGACCATTTTGGGGGCCTTTTAGAGGGCCTCTTGGCCCTTCTTGGGGCTTTACGGGGAGCCCCGAGGGCGGCGCCCAGGAAAACCATCTCTGATCGGACCTTGCCATGGTACTTTTCGGCCGGGGGCCCCCAGGGGCGGCCCCGCGCACGCGCGAAGTAGAAAACTCTGAACCAGTCTCCGCTGATCTTCGCACGCCTCTGGCCCGTTGGGCTGGCGAATTTCTGGGAATGCTTAGAGAAGTGCAGAAGATGTATGCTGGTGCCAAGCGCCCCCCCCCCCCCCCCCCTGCGTGTGGCTTGAGTTGGAATTGTTTCAGCTGACTGCGGCATGCTCCGCAACCGTGACAGCGCAGCATTGAAATATGTACAGGATGGTCCTACCGAGCTCTGCCAAGGACGCTCGGTAGTATTTCTGCGGGTGTGAACCCAGGGTCAAGGCGTCAAGGCCCAGCAACTTCCAGAACAAATCCCAAGTTGTTTCGGGTCTTTCGAGTGCTTTCATTCGGGTCAAAGCTTGGACACCTTGTCGAGACTTGCCTCGCCAGGGACCATAAGGTACGTTGTAATTCTTGGGTGCAGCAGGTGCGTACGATCTTTGAAGGCTGCAGTCCTTGCTCTGCCATCCCCTGCTCTTTCTGCCTTTGCCCTGGCAGCGGCGGCTGCAGCGGCGCCTTCTTGGAGATGTGCCCATCTGTCGATGCGGGGCCGCAAAAGATGTGCAAAGCGGCCACAGCCAGGGTTGAGCCAGGAGTAAGCGGGGTATGACCTGGCTCAGTAAGCAGAAGGGGCACTCCGGCATGCGTGCACCTTCGCCGCCTGGTGGACAGGCGGTTCCGCCGCGTGAGCGGGGCGGCGCGGCCGCGCGCATGATGGACGTGGAGGCCTGCTTGTCCAAAATGTCATGTCCTCAGTTTGAGCACGGACCACTGTTCGCATATGTAAGCCCGTTTGCGGGATGATTGGGCATGCCCGCGCGCTTGCCCTTGTAAGTCAGCGGGCAAGAGTGCGAAAGCGGTCAGGCGCTGGTCGGGCTACGGGTTGGAAAGGTGTGTTTGTACGCGTACTCGCATGCATCAGTTCATGCACCGCCCACATGTTCGTGCGCGCCTGCGACGCCCCGTGTGTACATCCGCACGGAAGTCTTTCTTCTCACTCGCTCCCGTCTCGCTTCTCCAGTGCCCCTCGGTTTCGTCTGACCAGCTTCATCATCTTCATGTACCGAGCAGCAAAACAAGACGATGTTTGGAACCATGCACACGTTACTACTTCTCTCCTGGACCCCACTGGCTGGCGGCGACGCGGATCGCACCTCCCTGCAGCTGCGCCGGCTCGGACAGAACATTTTGCCTTGGCACCACCGGCCCTCGAACCAGCAGCGCACAGGAGTGGAGACGGGGCTGCCTTGCGGCACAGGGTCTAGCTGCGAGCCGAGATGTGTGTTCTGGCGCCAAGCAGCCGAATTGAATGCAGAGACGCCTTTGCGCGTCGCCCAGCGATGGCGGGGATGAGCCGACTTCGGGAAGGGACTCGTCGCCGCTGAGATGTCAAACGGTCGGCGGCCGCCGTCCAGGCAATAGGCCAGAGCAGGGCTGGACCTAAACGGTGTTTTGGCGATTTCGTGGGCCGTTTTTGTTTCGACTTCGTTTTGCGGTAGAGGCAGATTGAAGACACAACGAGGGAAATCGATCACAACACGAACACGAAAAACACCGTTTAGGTTCAGCCCTGTGCCCGAGTGCTCCCTCGTGCAACTTGGGGGGGGGTGATCCCGCACGCGGAACGTCTTGAGACGTTCGAGACGGACGTTGCTCCTGGTTTTCGGCCTTCGGTGCCCTCGCTCGGCCCCGGGACCGTCAAGCAACGACTCAGGACGAGAAGCCAACACAACAAACATACCACACCAATAGCAAACACAAAACAACGACTCAGGGCGAGAAGCCAGCCCTTGGGAAAGGGTTGGGACTTCCAGCCGAATTGTTCATGATCCTGGTGAAGGACCGAACCATATGCAGTTGTGAGTGCCGTCGTTGCGGGTGTCGCTATCGGGGGATCTCCTCTTGGGGCCATGCAGCATGCGGTGTGTGTGTGTGTGTGCCGATGTGGGGCAGGGCTGCCATGTGGGCGCTGACATTGGTGCTTTAGGCGGAACGCGCTACGGGGCAGCGAAAAGTGTGAGGGGTGCGCCGCCACTGGGGCCTTCGGTGGAGCTCCCTATGGGGCCACGAAGCGCTGTACTGCGTGGGGGTGACACATACGAGTACAGCCACTGAGGCCTTTGGTGGAGCTCCCCATGGGGCCACAAAGCGCTGTGCTGGGTGGGGGGACCGCATGCGAACACTGCCACTGGAGCCTTCGGTGGAGCTCCCTATGGGGCCACGAAGCGCTGTACTGAGTGGGGGTGACGCATGCGAGTGCAGCCACTGGGGCCTTTTGTGGAGCTCCCTATGGGTCCACGAAGCGCTGTACTGGGTGGGGTGGGTGGTGATGCTGATGTTGATGATGATGGAGGGGGGATGAGGAGGGGAAGGAGCAAGGAGTGATGGACGCGGGGCGCTCTCTCGTCAAAACGAGGACCCAACACCACAGGATGGTTGGGAACAAATCAAGGCGTCGGATCTCTGGGATCGTGTTGTGTCAGCGACTGGGCACTGATGCTGCGGAGGATGGATGGGATGTCCCCTGGGGGCTCCGTCGGTACCCTGCCCACTTGGGCCCCTGCGTGGTCCGAAGGATTGCCATGTATTGTATGTTGCGCCAGCGTCGCTATGTGCGGAGTGCGTTGTAAGGAACAAGTTTCTCTTTCTTCCTTATACGTCCCCCCTCAGACCATCGATTGCGGCGCAATTGGGGCTTGGGGGAAAGGCTGGGCAAGGCATGTTTGCCGCGCTCGAGAGCGACGTCGGTGTGCGCACACTCGACAGGCAGTACTTGTCCAGTGTAGCACCTCAGGTGCCACTCGACGATGTCAGTAACCCGATATCTCCAGGGGTGGAGGCGATTCCTCTCCAAGTTCCCCCTGCTGCTGCCTCGGCCTGTTCTTAGTGTTCGCCCACTTGAGTGGCAGTGGCCCAGCGTTGCACGCGTGAAGCTGCCTCTCGGCAGCCATTCGCCTGCTGGCGCAGGCAGGGCCCCCGCGCCGCTGTGCCGTCGCTGCTGCCGCCATCGCTTTTCCATTCTCTTGTCCTGCTGCTTGTGCCTGGGCGTCGTTGACATCGCTGCCCGATGACCAACCGACCGACCAAGGAGGGCGAGGAGGATGAGGAGGATAAGGAGGAGGAGGAGGAGGAGGAGGAGGAGGAGGAGGAGGAGGAGGAGGTCCGTAGCCATTTTGGCTGAAGCCGAGGGGCTGGCCCGAGTCCCTCCAGGTTTTTTCACGTGCGATCTCCACAGGAGCGTCAAGCGCTGTGGAACCATTTTGGTCTCCCCGCAGCAGCGCGACCCATGCGGCATCGCCAGCGCCGGGTTCGCCTGACCTTCTCGCCGCGCTCGAGGCAGCGTCTTCCTTCCGTCGCAGGGAGTCGATTGAGGAGCAAGCGCGCTCGGCCAGAAGATGGCCCGTAGGGGCGAATCGGCGGGTGAGATTCGGGCTCAAGGTGATAGTATTCGCCATGAGCTCATATCAGCAGTGGCTGGTCTCCAGCAAGGACTCAGCGGCATCACCGCGACCATGGACAAGCAGTTCAAAGGCACCAACTTGCAGGTCGAGCAGCGCTTCTGTGCCATCGAGGGCCGCATCTCCGCCAGTGAGAAGTCAGTCTCCGCTATGCGCTGCGAGATCTGCGAGCTCAGGAGGACCCTCACTTGCGTCGAGAGCGAGACTCCCGCGGCCAACGCCACGCCGCGTTGCGGCTGAAGCTCCGAGCTTCAGCCGCAACGTGGACCCCACCGTCGTCGTTGTCCGCGTCCAGGTCTTGGTCACCAGGGCCAAGATCGCAGAAGTCGTCGGGGTGTGGCTTGCCGACTGGGCGCACGACGCCGAAGACTGGGAGATCAATGGCGACCCTGTCGGCCGTCGCCATTCCATTCAGATTCGAGGAGCCGCTGGCTACGCCGCTAGGGAGGTGGCGCAGCGCATGGGCAACCTCAAACTGGCGGACAACTCCTTCTGCCGCTTCCAGACCGCCGGCGCAGCTGGCACGCCCGTGCCTCTCTTTGTGTCAGCCGACAGGGACATGTGCCTGATCCGGAGGGAGTTCTCCATCAAACAGGCCAGGGCACACCTGGCGGAAGCGTATCCTCAGAAGCGTTTCGTCAGGGATCGCGTCCAAGGGGAGGTCGCGTGTCAGTGGAAGCCGACCCTTCGCATCATCCCGCGCCCAGGGCTCGGGGTCAACCGCGAGGAGATTGGTGGCTAGATCAAGGCCATCCTCAGCAGTCCCAGCAGTGAGGCCCAGTGGTACGTTTAGCAATATTTTCGTATTCCTCCCCTCTACCTTGGCTAAGGACATGACCCTAGAGCTCAGTGCTTGGAACGTCCGCTCCCCCTTCCACCATGGCCTTTTCACCCGATCTCATAAGCAGTCTTACCTCCGTTCCTTTCTTCGTGGATTCAATTTCATCGCAGTCCAGGAAACTCGCGATTCTTCCGAGGATGTCCATGACTTCTGTGCTCTGCGCTAACCATAAATAGGTGGCTAACCTCTTCTCCATCGGCTCTCGTCGTGACGGTGGGTTTGCTACTCTATTCCCGTCTCCTTCTTCTTCGTTTGGCTTCGGCGACGCGTCGGTGGCCGCGGGTGAGGCTCTGGTGCAGGGCAGAGCGCTCTATGTTTATGTTCAGCTGGGCTCTCGGATGCAGGGGTGCCCTGAAGTCTTCACCATTTACCGCTATAACATGCATAACTTTCAACTGTACGAGGAGGACGTGATGAGGATCACTACACGCATCGACACATCACTTGAGTATGCACGTGAACATCATGATTCGCGCATGGAGGTGGCGATGTGTGATTCCAGCTTCGCGAGCGAGTCGCCGACCCCCACTGTGGCACCGGCTAACTTTGAACCTGTGCCGGCCGTGCAGACTTGGCACCGAGATTGCGATGCGGGTTTGAGAAACATCTGGGAGCCATGGTCGAGACCGACACCCCCGACACGGCCCACTACGATGGCACCTTCGACAATTTTCAAACATCGATTGGACGTTTCTCTAGGGCCAAAGCTGACAGCTTACCCAGATGTCGATCACGGCCTCCAGTAGTGAGTCTCTTGAAATTCGCGAACAGCGAGGGGTTGCAGATCATGGTGCGCTGCAAGTGGTCATGCGGTGTCGCCCTCCATCTGATCCCGATTCTCAGCCTATCCCGAAGCATTTCTGTCATCGTCCCCAATTTCTGGAGTGCGTATGCCTGACTAAGAAAATCGTGACGAGCGAATTTACCACTGCTGCTTGAGCCAAATCTTTACAAAGAGGTGATCAAATATGGAACCCGACAGGCTTGTAACAATGTCCTTTGAGAGAACCTGACGGACCCCAGGACCAGCATATTTTTCCTTGGGGCTATTGCTCGTGCGGTATGGCGTCAAGATTTTCGGGGTGCTGCCAGACTTCTCCAGTATGACCTGGTACAACGCTTTTTGGCTTTGGACTTGTCTATCCAAACCCGCTGACTTTTGCGAGCTGCCAGATTCGCTGCAGTGGGCCGACGCTGAGAATTAACAGGCAGCGATCAGGCAACGCATCGGAGACATTCCCTCGGCTGTTCAGAAGGCGAAGGCGCGCCGTCGTATCCGCGCTCCTGCTCGCAGTGCATGTTTGTGGGCACCTTTCTGACAAGCCACTGCACCTCTCAGGGCTGAAGGCCGGCAGTTCGATTGTACCGACCGATGCTGACATCCAGCAGGGTATCGCACAGCATTGGGGCGACGTAGTCAGCGCCAAAAACATTGACCCGAAGGCTGCCGCCAGGTATCTCGATCAGTTGGCCCCCGAGATCCAGTTGCCCGACTTGGGCCCCCCGAGGATTCAGGACTTTCGTCGGGAGGTTCTTCGGGGCGTCTCGGACTCGGCCCCTGGGCCCGACAGCATGCCGAATTCCGCGTGGCTCGTCGTCACCAGCGCATGTGAAATGCTGGACCGTGTTTGCTGGTGGCATCTCAGTGCGGCCGCATGCCGCGCGGGTGCAACGCTTTCCTAGGCATGTTCATTCCGAAACCGTCTGATGCTGAAGATGACCCCTCCTTGGCTTGCGTCCGTCCTGCCAGTGGTCTTCGGCCTCTTGGGCTCAAAGATGCAGATGACGAGCTTGTTGCTGCAGTGGCATTCCGACAACCATCCTGTGCGTTTCCCTTCCCAGTGTCTCTCGTCCATGCAACGTGGCTTCGTGCAGGTCCGAAATGTTGGACAGAACATCGTGGAACTTGACGGGCGCGTGCGGCTTTATTCGGCTCGTAAAACACCTCACCCAATAAGGACGATAAAGAGGATGAGGAGGACGAGGATGAGGATGATGGTGAGGATGGTGATGATGATGATTTTGTTGTAGTTGTTGATGGTGATGATGATGGTGATGATGAGGATGCTGATGCTGATGATTAGGGTGATGGTGATGATGATGCTGACGAGGAGGAGAAAGAGGAGGAGGAGGGGGAGGAGGAACAGGAGGAGGAGGAGGAAGGAGAGGAGGGGGAGGAGGAGGATGAGGATGAGGAGGAGGAGGAGGAGGAGGAGGAGGAAGAGGAGGAGGAGGAGGAGGAGGAGGGGGAGGAGTGTAAACCCAAGAGTCATCAACGATGTTGTAATAAACCCTTCTTGCGAACTCCCTTTCCAGAGGCCCCATACAGCGGTTCATCTCCACTGAAGGAACTGCCTCGCTGGAAGGCAACCGTTTGAAGACCCTGAAGCATGCCAAAACTTTGTCCTCGGGATTCCAACGCCGCGGGTCAAACTGACTGTTGCGTCGTGAGACGGTTCTGAGTCGCGCCAGAACGCCATTCCTGAAACTTCAGTACCGCGAATCAAGGGAAGTGTTGCACCCTAATCATCCTGAGTCTTTCCTAAGCACAATTTCTGGTACGCTGATCATGGAAATCCGTGAAACTCTTGGCACTTTGAAAAAGTTTATTTCGCGGCGCTGAGGCGAGAGCGACTTTTTGAAAATAAGCCGCCATGAATCCGTGAAACCCTTGCAACTTTTTAGAACGAATGTGCGCGGCGCTAAGGCGAGAGCCACACTTTGAAAAAGGAGCCGCCCTCAATCTGTGAAGCTCTTGCAAACTGTTAAGACGAGTGTGCGCGGCGCTCCGGCGAGAACCGCATTTTCAAAACGAGCCGCCCTCCATCCGTAAACTTTCTTGCAGATTGTTAGAACGAATGTGCGCGCGGCGCCCCGGCGAGAGCCACATGTTGACAACCACTCGCCTTCCATCCGTGAAACTCTTGCAGATGTGTAAAACGGGTGTTCGCGGCGCTAAGGCGAGAGCCACATTTTGGAAACCACCCGCCCTCCATTTGTGAACCTGTTGTCATTCTTCAAGCTTCAGGGTCATAATGGTGAGGAAGTCTCAAGCGAAATGCCCGGCCCGCCAAAAAATCAGGCCTCGAGGTGCGACAGGGAAACGTTATGTATAAGGAAAAGTAATGGAGGATGAGGAGGTGGAGGAGGAGGAGGTGGAGGAGGAGGAGGAGGAGGAATAGGAGGAGGAGGAAAAGGAGGAGGAATAGGAGGAGGATGAGGAGGAGGAGGAGGAGATGGGGATGAGGAGGAGGAGGAGGAGGAGGAGGAGGAGGAGGAGGAGGAGGAGGAGGAGGGTGAGGTCATCATTTGTTCAGCCCCCGGCGCCAGCCAGCCCGCCCGCTATTCTTGCCTTTCCGCAAAGGAGGTGGAGGGGCCGCTTCGTACCCTCCATTTGGCTTCTTGGCCTGCCGCGCCGACGCCGGGCTCCGCGGGGCCTGTCCCTGGTGGAAGGGACCGCTCGTCCCCTCCGAGGACCGACCTCCAGTCGAACGTATGGTTCCGCAAAGTATGTCCGTGCCGTGCTGTCTCCTTTGCAGCGTTCGGAACCACTGGGCGGCGCGCCGATGGGGAGGCGAGAGCAAGAGGGCCGGCCTGCTCAGAAGGCGACGGGGTTTCTGAAAAACCTTCTGTGGCTTCGAGGATGGCTGGGAAAGCTCCGCAGAAGGCCGAAGGCCTTCTGAGCCTTTAAGAAGGCCCGCCCCTGTGCCTTCCTCCTGGGCGTGCCGCCGAGCAATCGTATTGCTTGTTCCATATACACATGTATCGGATGTTGATTCCCCCTGCTCCTCTACCTTTGGCTCCCTCTGCATGAGCGCGGTCCTTTATCGTGATGGCTTAACTTACTGGTTCACGCGATTCGATCAGGAACCGAAATCGCAATCATGAGCATTAGGCTGGTTCTCAAACCGAGATGAACAGCTGACAGGAGAAGCCAGGTATACATTGGCGCAACGTTGGGGTGCGTGATTGCGAGGGCGACGGCACAGAACCAACATCATTGTATTCATTCACGTCTGCACCGCAATTGTGTCGCCGAGTGATTCTGCGTTTCACCACGGGTTGGAAGGGTTAAGGTTTGAGGCCTTTCGGGGTTTCGCGCTGACTCAGGTGGCTAGTATTGCGAAGGCCTTACGGCCGGTGCCGCCGACCCTGAATGGCGACGACGACGACGACGACGAGCGCTCTTGGGGGCCTCTTGGGGGTAGTTTGTGGGCCTCTTGGGAAGCTCTTAGGGGCCGCTTGGAAGCCTCGTGGGGGCCTCTTGGGGCTTCCTGGAGGTCTCTTGGAGGGGGCCTGGGACGTCTTGGAGGCTTCTTGGACGGTCTTGGGGCTATCTTGGGCGTTTTCGGCCGATCTGTGGGCGACTCGGGGCCCTCTTGGGCCGTCTCATCTTGGGCATTCGGACCTCGATCTCTGGGACCCCCCGGGACCCCCCCCCCTGGGGAAGGGATCAAAGGGAAGGGGCTTCCCTTCGACTCGATTACGACACTGCTAGATTTTTCTCTCGCTCACGAGCTTGAGAAGGAAGCTGCAGGGAAAGGGGACGACGGAGGCGACGACCGACGGAGACGACGACTCGAACAGCCAAGCCCCTCGCACACGCCGACAGGGTCGGCGGATTTTGCAAGTGCTTTCAGCGGTGGTGTATTTCGTTGTCTCAGTCCTCGCACAAGGTATGGCTGCGGACGAATCAACATGCACGCCAGCGTGGGAGTGTTCTATGCAGTGTTCGCCCCACGAACGCGGTACTGGGAGTTTTCGAGCGGCAATATGCTGGCTCGTTGGTTGGCACGCCAGAGAGGACGTTGATGGTGAGGTTACGAAGCGGCGGTTGATTTTGGCATAGTCGGCAGCCTCATGTTATATTTAGCCGTCGTAGTTGAGTGTGTCGAGCCCAGGCTTCCACACTTTGCTTTTCGGGCCGCCCCGTCTATCAGGGGGCAACGTCACGGGGTATTGGCTCAGCGGGGAATGCGTCGCTCTCAGTCGCCAGTTCACCGCCGATGGGGGCCTCATAGGGGCAACGTCAGGGGGTGTTGGCTCAGCGGGGAATGCGTCGCTCTCAGTCGCCAGTTCATCGCCGGTGGGGGCCTCACAGCCCACGCAGCCCGGGAGCGTGTGGTCTCGCTGGCGAGAGCCTCTCGGCGATCCGTCGGCGACGCATCGCCGAGTGCAGGTCAAGGGCTCTCCTCCTGAGCACGTCCTCCCCCGCCGTGTTCCCTCGATCTACCCTTCCCGCAGGTGATGCTGCGAGGCCCTTCGGGGCAGCCGCCTTTCCCGATGTTGCATGACTGTTGCCGTACTGTGGAGGCCTTTGTGAAGGAGTAGTCCCAGGAGGCGCCAGACCCTGGAGGGCTCCTTATCTGATGAGGGCGGCGGTGACATCCATGGCCCGTCCACGATTGGCTTTCCACTGGCTTCCAGGCCCTGGATTCCTCATCGAAGGTTTCCTTATCCAGTGCCCTCACCGTGGGCAGCGGCGGCTCGCTGATTCTGCCGCCGCTGGAGAGCGCCGCCAGGGCCCACGGCTTTGGGCCCCTGGCGGCGGCGCGGGACCGTGGCCGCGAGGTCCGTGCCGAGCGCGGGGCGGCAGTGCGCGGGGGGCGGTGGACCCCAGGAGGGCGAGCCAGGGCCACGAGTGGCCTGTCCCTGCGGGTCCCACCCGCGCCAAGCAGGTTCGAGCTTGAACAGGGCGCCCGAGCGCCTGCGAAGAGCCAAGACGCCCTCACCGTCCTGCGTGGCTGTTGCCGTATCTGCCCCCGGGCTCGGGGGCCCCCAAACGGTGCGGCGACCGCGCCGCGCGTGGAGCCAGTGGGAACTTCCGGGTGACCGCACGGCTCCGGGACCCAGGTCGCTCTCCGAGGGCGTCTCCAGGCTCCCCCAGCACCGTGCGGTGACGGATCGTGCGGTGAGGTCCTTGCGGATTCCGAGGTCACCGCCCAGTCTGTCGCCGCACATTTTCGGGCCGGCCCCCCGAAGAATAGACTCCATCGTCGTCCCGACTGGTGGAGGGCCTGTGATTGTTGGCCTTTTTCTAGGCGATGCTCCAGTTAAGAGGAGGAGGAGGGGAGGGGTCGGTGTCATGAGTACAGGGCGTGGTGCTGCAGCTGGCCTGCGGGGCGCATGGCGATGGCCTCGTGTCCTGTTGGACTGCGTAGCCCATTCTTCCGGATGCTGCTTGAAGGGGCCATGGCTCGTGCCGTTACTGCCGAGCGCATCCGTGCGAATTTCAGCTTCGTCGCCGATCGCCAACGCGGGCAACGGGTGCAGGGCTGGCCGCGCACAGTGCTGGCCCGCCTGGGCCGATGTGGGTTGGGCTATCTTCAGCAAGCCCTGCAAACTCCCAACCTCTTTCTTCTCCTCCTCCTCCTCCTCTTCCTCCTCCTCCTCCTCCTCCTTCTTGATCTTTCTCTTCTCGTCGCTTCCTCTCCTCCACCGGCCGCTCGCCTCCCCTCGCGGCCTGACCCGGGGCGCGGAGGACGAATGGGGCCCAAGAAGGAGAGGGCCGAGGTGGAGGCGGTGACCCTTGGCCCCACGGCGCGCGCCCGCCTCCGGGGCTCGCGAGGGGTCGGAGGGAGGAGAGGAGAGCCGCCATCACCACCTGCGGTGGGGTGTGGGGGGCAGGGCTCCGGGCGCGCCCAGGGGAAGGGCAGAGGAGGGGGAGGAGGAGGGGGAAGGGCAGAGGAGTGGGAGGAGGAGGGGGAGGAGGAGGATGAGGAGGAGGAGGAGGAGGAGGAGGAGGAGGAGGAGGAGGAGGTGGAGGAGGAGGAGGAGGAGGAGGAGGAGGAGGAGTGGGCCTTCTCAGAAGGCTCAGAAGGCCTACAGCCTTCTGAGAAGCTTTCTAAGCCTTCTCCGAAGACGCATGGGGGCTTCTCAGAGGGCCAGAAGACTTCGAAGCCCGGCCGCCTCTGAGACGGCTTGCTCTCCGTCTCACTTCCCCCCCCTGGCGCGCCGCCAAGAGCGGGGTTTGGTGTGATGGTTGTGGTGCGTGCTTTCGGGGGCACTTTCGAGTGGCATCCTGCACGTGTGCGTCGCTCAAGTCAGAGAATCTTGCACCCGCCTGGTGATGGTGGTGGTCGTCATCAGTTCCGTCTTCCCCAGACGTCGGGGCCTGTGCACACTCGGACTTTTGTCCCACCGTATTGTGCCTGATTCGTCGTTGCGCTTCCGAGGGGCGCCAGAATCGTTCGCCCTCCGAGGGCGTCTCGCGCCGCTCTCTCAGGCCGAGCTGTAGCCCAAACGCAATTACCTTATTGTTGCTTTTGTTTCATTTCACTGAGCGCCTCCGAGGGGGCAGACACCGCCGCCCCACTGTCTTCGGAGCGCGGTTGCTCTGATGCAGATGTGGGAACGCGTGAATCCCGCGTCCAGACTTTGCGAGGCTCTTTGCAGAAAGAAGTGGGCCACTTGAGCAGCTCTGGAAGCCGAGGAGGGTCCGGACAAGCCGCCAGGACGCCGCAGGGAGGCCAGAGAAGCTCCAACAACCCTCGGGCTCGGCCCAGAGAAAAGGGCGCTGTGGGGCCCCGAGGGGGACCCAAAGGGGGACCAGGATGGGTCGAGTGCAGCGGAGCGGTGGGAACGAGGGGAACGGGAGGGGGAAAACAACATCGCCACTTAGTCTTTGGCTCCTTGAGGCTCCCGGGGGCCTTCTGGGGGCTCAGAAGGCACCATCCGGTCCATCCGCCCCGCGTGTTTCGTGGCCCCATCGGGAGCTCCACCGAAGGCCCCAGTGGCCTTGGCACTCCCCACATGTTTCGTGGCCCCAAAGGGAGCTCCACCGAAGGCGTTGCGCACAACGCGGTACTCCCGACTGCATATGGCTGGGTCCTTCGCCAGGATGATTCACGTTGCCCCCCCCGCCCCTCCTTTGTCTCGGGCGCCATCATTGCTCTAGGTAGGTACCAAGATGATTTCCAAGAGGTCCAGGACCGCCCCTGAGATAGCTCCAAGGACCCACAGAGCTTTCCAGGATGGCCTCCGAGAACCAACACATGCAACAAATACCTAAGGGACATCTATCGATTTTTACCCTCTCGCCGATTCGTTTCCGAGGAGCCTCCGGGGGCACAAGTTGGGCCCCTAATGGCCCAAGCGAGCCAGGAGAGGAGCCCAAGAGAGCCCCCGGACGGTCCCAATAGCTCCCCCTAGTGGCCTCAGGGGTGTCCCAAGACTCCTCTACTTCGTCGGCCAGCTCCCAATAGCCCCCCCTAATGGCCTCAGGGGAGTCCCAAGACTCCTCTACTTCGTCGGCCAGCTCACACCGGATCCCGGCGCCCGAGCCCTTCCCGCGCCTTCCGCGTCCCCACCCTTGCGACCCTCGGCGCTCGACGGTCGGGTTCTCCTCCTCCTCCTCCGCGGCCCCTCTCTTCTTCTCCGCTCGTCTGCGCGCCGCCCCGGCGCGTTTCTGGCTGGCGCGTCCCGCCAGCGCTGCCGATGGAGCAGTTTCTTTTTTTTGTTCTTTCCTTCGGGGGTGGACAGACCTCCTACCCTGACACGTCGATTAGCGAATTGGCCGTTTTCGGTTCGCGAAAGGGCGTCGCGGCCGTCATTTTTGCGGGTCCAGGTCCGTCGGTTTCGGTCCCAGGCCGTTTTCACTAATGGGAGGTTTACTAAAGGGAGGTTTGTCCACCGCCGAGTTTCATTTTTTTTCTCTCTTTCCTCTTCGCCTTCCTTCCTCTCGCTCCTCCCAGTGAGCCCCTCCATGGTTTGCTTCTCAGGTTGCCGTGGAGGTGCCCGGCTCAAGTTCGACCGAAGTTCGGCTCGAGTCCACGGATTTTCGACGCGGCATCGACGCATGAGTGCTGCGAGTGGCTCCAGGAAGGTAACCGGTAACCAGCATGATCATTCAACCCATTTGCGAGTTTGGTCAGAGCTGTTGTTCTGGACTGGTGCGATGGGGAATGAAGTAGGCCGCCAGGCAAATCCAGCGATGCGTTCGGATTGGGGCGGGGGGCGTCCCAAGGTACGCATCTTTAAACCATGTCGTTCTCTCTGTGTTTATGTGAATGTTCATACGTACATATACACACATCAATAAACAACAACACATATGTATGTCTCTCACTCTCTCTCGTACTCCCTCTCTCTCTCTCTCTCCCCTCTCTCTCTCTCTCGCTTTCATGCCCTCTTTGGTTCTGTTCCAGCACTTCGATTCCCGTGGTCCTTCTAGACTTGCGGGTCTCTTCGACGCCTCCATGTCTTCATTCTTCTGCCATCATTCTAAGCCTCTTCCGACGCAGACACTTGTTCAGCGCAGGTCCGCGAGGGCGAGCAGGTCTTCGGCGTTGCGCACATCTACGCTTCCTTCAATGAGCCCTTCTGGGGGATGGGGTTGACAGAAGATCGTTACGGACAGTTCCATCATCACAAATATTAGCCACGCGCAGAGGGGGGTGGGGGAGGGGGGAGGGCTTCATAGAGGCACCCCTGCTTCTTGGAAGGCGCGGGCCTTATCCGTAGATGCAGGGCCGCCTTCTTCTAAGAAGCAGCCTCCTTCTAAGAAGCCCTCCCCCTCCCTCCACCCCCTTGTGCGAGCAGGCACCAACATGACGTCGACCCCCGAGTTCTCGAGCCATTCCCCAGGACCGTCTTTTCATCCTGGGTAGTTTTTCGACGGTCCCGAGGGCGGGTGAGGGCCCTCAGGGGACGAAAATAATGCAAGACCTCCCGTCGGGATTTTCCCATGGGTCGAGAGGGCCCCCCCCCCTCTTGTGCGCGTCGCCAAGGTGAGCAGGGCGAGGAGCTTTCCAGCAGGAGTCCTGGGCGCCAGGCGCGACCCGGGGAGCGCCTCTCGGGTCCCTGCCGGGCAGGCCCGCGAAGCCTCCCAGATCGCCACCAGGGAGCCCCAAGCGTGAAGTCGGGCGTGTCTCCCCTCTACAGGAGGAACATTCAAACCTAGTCAACACATAGTCGTGGGACGTTATATTTTATATGTATATATATATATATATATATATATATATCTAAACAAAACATATTTATAAACATGTATATATATATATATAATTCTAACCGTTTATTTTATGTATATATATATATATATATCTAAACAAAACATTGGCTCAAGATATCCCTTCTTCGCCTTCTTCGCCTCCTGCCGCAATGGGCGCTCAGCTGGCCCGGCCGCTGCGCCGGCGCCTCGCCGACGCGGGACGTCTCCGGCGCGCCGCAGGCGCTGCGCTAATCCCGGAGGGCACCCACATGGACATGGCGTCGAAAGGGGTTGCACCTGACCCCTCGGCACCTGGGATTTGGGGGGATGGCCGGCCTTGCGGGGGGAGCGTGGAACCCGCGGCGGGGGGTGCCGCGGGGACCGACGGGGTGCCCGCCTCTTCTGATGTCCCCTCCCCGCCGCAGTACCAGGTTCCTCCTCCACCCTCCCATGGCCCCCCCCACGGTCCCTCGAAATCCTTCCTCATTTTTTGCCGACCCGTCAGGGAGGAATGCCAGCCTACAGGACCCTCCCCGCAGCTGCAGATCAACGACGACGCCAGCAGCATCACCTACGACTTCGGAGAGCATGCAGCATTCCCTGGCATGAATTACAACTTCTTCGTGAAGCATGTCGCGATCATCTTCGAGCACTTCGCTACATTCGGCATTGGTTTCACGACCTTCGTGGAGTATTTCACGATCTTCGTGGAATACTTAACCATCTTCGTGGAGGTTTTCACCATCCTTGCGGAGTATTTCACGATCGTCTGCATGAGTTTCTCTATTTTCGTGGAGCCTTTCACGAGCTTCGTGAAGGATTTCAAGATCATCGGCATCATCGGCATGTGTGTCACGACAACAACGACGCCAGCACACAGCGTCCTGTACGACAACATCGACGCCAGCGCCCACGACGCCACCACCGCCACCGAGAACTCCAGCTTCAACATCTGCGACCAGGCATCTCCGACTCCAGCTCGGACCCCAGTCCACGACGACCATGATGCCGACGAATGCGACGACGTGTGCGACGACAGGGAAGCTGGGACGCAGGGAGGGACGTCGGGAACGACGATACCCTTGACGACAAGGCCAGTTTGCCCAGCACTATTCCAGGACGCATGCGACGAGATGCAGATTTTCGTCAAGACCTTTACGGGGAAGACGATCACCCTCGATGTGGTGGCCAGCTGCACTATCGCCAAGATGAAGACGATGATCCAGGACAGCCAGGACATCCCTTCAGGGCAGCAGCGGCTGCTTTACTCTGGGAGGCAACTGGGGGATGCTCAAAACCTACTCGACCACAACATTCAGCATCACGCCATGCTCTACTTGACGCTCCGCCTCGACGGCGGCATGGACGCTACGCAGCCGCATGGCGACGACGACGACGACATGACCGAGCAGGACGACGACGGCATGAACGGCACGGGTCTGTCCCAGCCGCTGGCGGATCTTTCGATACCTGGGGCTGCTGCTGCTGCTGCCACACCTCCTGGACTCGTCGACACCCCCGGGAGGACAGCTCAGCAGATGACCACGGACGCGGAGATGGCCGCCCCCAGCAACACTCTGTTACAGGATTTCTTGGACTCCGAGGTGTTAGAGCATTTTGATCTCATCCAAGCGGCTTGTCCCGATAATCCTGAAGACAATGCCGTCTCCATCGACCTCCCCACCACTTGGCTGGAGTTGCAGACGGTGCTACGAAAGCTGGCCTACGACCCCGCTACGGTCGACCCATGGCGGCGCCTGGGCCTTGCAATGTTCGCCGGGGAGGATCCCACCGCCACCATTATTGCGGCACGGGAGCGTACGGCATTATTGTTGGGTGGTCTCTCGGAACATGCATCTTGGACACCCGCTGATAGGGCAGCGGCTGCTGCCTTCATGCAGCGCGCCTCTGAGGCAGCGCGGCATTGTGAGGCAGAACTTCCTGATCTTCTCCGGCAGCGTCGGAAAATGAAGATGAGCAAGCTCCCCCTTTTCAAGGAGTTGGGGAAGGAGGCCATGGAGATCATCCGGGCCCTGCCGCTGACCCCCGACACGGTCATCCTCACCCAGTGGTCCAACGTATTGCAGGAACCGACCGTCACTGAGAGCATCATCGAGGACTCCCGCGGCATCGCTACGTTGGCCGAGAAAGGGGATCCCAAGCTGTGGGAGTGGTGCCGTGGGAAGCGAGTCGTCATATGGGCTCCGACGGATACGAATGCTCTCACTCGTTGTGTGGCTGCCCTGGTACGTCTCGCTCCTGAGGCCCGGCCATTATCGTGCATCATGCTGGCTCCGATCAGGCTCCTGCCAGGGATGCACACCATCGAGGCGGTCACTGATCTATGGTGGCACCCGCTCCTGGCCGAGACGTGGGCCTCTGTATTGCGCAAGTGCATTTTTTCTCCGACGACGTTGGAGATTGTTGACACGGGGCCTGTCGGCCCCAGGATTACCCGGTCGGGGTTGGCAATCTTTCACTTTAGTCATGATGGCCCCCGTGCAGCCCCACACATTCATCTTCCGAAATCCCCTGTGCTACAACTCCCTTCGGTCAACATGGCAACGGTCGACTTGCAGGTGGACCACCTCCCCAGACTCTTCGGGGTCTTGGCAGGTAACGGCTTCGACGGCATTGTTCCGAGGAGCCACAGGAAGAGCCCATTAAGCTCTACACAAACTCCTCGGGTGTGCATCGATCTTTTACTACCCGTCGGCATCACAGACTCTTACGGACAACTTCTGATGCTGCGGCTACGCCGGGAGGGACTTCCTGTAGACGCTTACTGGACACATTCATCGATCTATGATTTTTCGGACGCTAAAATATTGGAAGTTTCATCGCCCGCCAATGTCCACAGATTTTGGGCCCTGTGCACACAACTCGTCGCCATCTCCAACACGAAGATCCTGGTGGTCTCCGAGACCTTCGCTCCGCAGTGGACTGCGGTCATGGACCAAATTTTGAAGGAAGGCGCGTCGGACTCGGCCTTCAAGCTCAAGTGGAAGGCTTCGCGGTGCGGGGGCCGCACCATCGCTACGCCCACTGCGACCGGGGCAGCTCTGGCTGCTTCCAGGCGCCGGGGCACCAAGAAGGCCTCCAACCTCGACCACATCGCGGAGCTGGCCATTCAAGGAGAAGTGGGACGGCAGGATGCTGAAGTACTGCGTCTTCTCATGGCGCACGCCTGCACGGCCACTGGCATCAGCCTGACGGAGACTGACTACAGCAGGGATCCGCGGGAGGGGGAATTTGTCCACCTTGCGTCGAAAGATCCCGCAGCCCCGCCTGGGCGACTTCGGCTTCTCCTACCTGGCGCGGAAGCGGTTCGCCGTATCCGAGCCGCCCTGCACGGACAGACGATCCAGGTGGGCAACGACCGTGTGGCCATCCACATCTCCAATGATCTGGTCGATGCGGCAGGGGTCCCGGGGGGCTCCAGGGGGCGGCGCTGACCGCGGCCCGTCCGCCTTGCACCAGCGGCTGCGTGCACGAGGGAATTCGTTTCCGGACATCTGCGGGTACCTCCGGTTGGTTACTGGACATCGTTCTGCAACTCCGCCGTTTTTCGGAGGGGCCGGGAAGCTTGAGCCGTGTCGTTGCTCACCCGTACGCCCCAGTTGTCCATCTTTTCACAAGGAATTCACGGTCTATTTCACGTTCTATTTCTCGGTCTACCTCTTTTACTTACTCTCCGCTCTCATCAATTCAGTCTGATCGTATTCTTCCACAGCTGCCGGTATTCATGTACGGAGACCAGGATGTCCGTCCGCAGGGGTCAGCGGCTTCAGTCACCGACGTGCCAGTGAGCATCTACAGGAGGCAGCGGCTACTACGAGCGCTAGGTCTAATGGGCCACGACCGTGTGCTGCGCTCGCTCCATACCAGCCTCTCTCCATACACCCTTACAGCACCGGCCTGGGCAATATCGAGGATATTTTTGCGTTGCCACTTGGAATGCCCAAGCTTTTTTTGCGATGGAGGAGGGTCGCCACTTCGCCAAGGCGAGATACATCCACTCGCTCCTCAATCGCTGCGACATGATCCTGATCACCGAGGCGCACGGGACCTCCGGCCAGCACAAAGCTTGGAGGCCTCCTGCGGGCACTTCGGCATGGTGGTCTGCCGGACCTACCGCAGGGCACGCTGGTATCGGCATCATCGCGAAGAACGGGTTCCTACAGAGGTTCCAACACGTCCGATGGCAGGTTATATGGCCTGGCCGGGCTGGTAAATTGGCCCTTCGAGGGCGGGATGGGGCCTTGGACGTGATTGTCAGTTATTTTCATTCCGGCGCGGACATCCAAGAAGCAGATCTTTATGGTGTACCCCAAGAGCTCCCAGCCCGGTGTACGAGCTTCCCTGCCTTGCGGGAGGTG